CAGGACAGGAACCATTCTGATGAGGCCATGTACCGTGGGGAAACAGTAAAAGAGAGCCTATGGCCAAGACAGCAGCAGTCGCGGACCTGGACCGTCTGAGAGCGCCCAGCAGAGGGCCACGCCCCCTCTCCAAGCCTATCTCCGGGAATGACCTCTTTTCAAGAAGGGCTCTCCCTACCTGGAGCTCTGTTTAGAATGACCTTGAACTTCAGATCTTCCACCCCCGGGATGCTGGGACCGCAGGAATCAATCCACCACCCCATATATTCAGTGCCACGGATCTGACCTAGGAGCTAGAGCAAGCCTTCTGTCAGCTGAGCTGTCGCCAAGAATAACGTTTGTGCAAGGAGACCGCTGGGCATGTCTGAGACCCTAGTTTTGCCCCCGAGACTGAAAATGGCTCCACGGTGGCCCACCCCAACCCCACCTCTGTACAGCCAAGCAGTAGGAGTGACAAGAAAGCCCCAGACTTCACTCAAGTAGCTGCTGAGGCGAAACAGGAGACAGTCGGGAGAGGGGACCCTTCCATCCGGGGTACAGCCCTAAGGGCGGCCGGGGAGGGCTCCCGAGGTGTCTGGGAAGCTTCTTGGTGGAGAAGATGAATTTTCATAGTGGGAAAGAGCGATTCTCACTACACCTGGGCGCAGAGGTCAAAGGTTATAGGGGCAAAGGTCACTACACTTTTGGAGCCAGGCTACAGCCTGAGGCGACCGGCTTGGCTGGAAGGCTTAGCTCCCCCTTCCACCTGTCATTCGTCTTGAGTCCTAAGGAGGGGATGGCGGCAGCGTTGGAGGGAGGACTCTCCGCTGCTGCTGGCCCCTCCGGTTCTGGGTGGGACTGAGGCCCAGCCTGGGGCGCGATCGGCCGGCCGGCCGGCCGGGGAAAGTGCCGGAGAGCCCCGGTGGCGCAGCTAGCGAGCTGGGGTCAGGCCAGGAGGTCCACGGAGGAGGGGCCGCACCTCAGCAGCCTCCCCTCCCCCTCCCCGGTGGCACCGCGAGGCACGCAGCCGCATTTCACCCGTGCCAGCCCTCACCTCCCGGCAACGTCGCCGCATTCTCAGCCACGCCATCTGGCGTGCCCGTCGCTCCCCGGCACACTGCGGCGGGCGGGGGAGGGGGCAGCGGGGCAGGTGCCCACCCTGGAGCCAGGAGGACGCGGCAGGTCCCCCTCCCCCAGCGTCCTTTGCGCTTGAGGTGGGGCAGGGGGCTGGGGAAGGGGTGGCAGGTGCTGTCAGGCTCGGGTGCAGCTCCAGCATCCGAGCGTCCGGGCGTCCCGGGCATCCCGGGCATCCCGGGCATCCCGGGCATCCCGGGCATCCGAGCAGGCGCCCCCTGGGCAGTGCCTCCTGCCTCCTCCCCCAGCACAGCGCCAGCCAGCAGCTCGGGACTTGGGGGTCCCCGCTGCTGCCCTCCCCCCACACCTCAGGAGGAGACCAGTCTCTCCTCACCCGCCCACCCAGCCAGGGAGGCCCCAGGACACCCGAGCGCGGCTGCAGCAGGGGGCGGACACCTGGGCCTGACCCACCTGCTCCCTGGGCCCACTATGGTGGCAGAGCAAACCTTCCGCACACAGGCCAGCTACCCACCAGTCTTACTGGGGGGCGCCAGGTGGCTGGCTGGCTGTCCTTCGGAGGGGAGGGGAGGGGAGGGGAGGGGAGGGTCGGAACAGAGGGGAACAGTTACAGATTCACGTGTGAGTGATTTACTTGGGGACAGCTAGGGGTGTAAAAAGAGTTTTCTATCTAGTAGATCCTTCCTGTCCCCGGAGCAAGATTCCCCTACTCTGTTCAGGAATGACCTGTCTCCCTCCCCCTCCCGCCACCCTCTGCCCTCTCTCCTCCTCCATGCTTACCTCAGCCCCCTCACCCCTGCCCCTCAGGCCTCAGCCAGAACAAAATGGCTGCTGCCCCTCTGAGGCAGCCATTTTAGGTGCCCAGACTGTGGACTCCCTTGGGATGGGGCGATGTCTCCATGGGAACCTCAGGCCCCCAGCTCCCTGCTCCCGCCCTGAGGTGTGGGCAGCAGAAATGGAAGTCTTCCAGGTCTGGCTGAAGTGCCCGCCCGTTCTCCTTTTCCTCTCAGAGACCTGGAGGGGACCAGGCCCCTCACCAACTCCCTTCCCCCAATGCCACGGGGAGGGACAGATGGCATCTCTGGGTGTTCTCCTTTCGGCTCCTTCCTTCCATTTCTGGCTGTTTCTGTCTTTCTCTCACTGCATCTCTGAGTACAGAGAGGAGCGTGCATGTCCCGGCGTGTAAATGCCTGCTTGTGTGTATGTGGACACACGTGTTGTACCTCTTTCTAGCTCATGTCTGAGGCAGGCCCATCCCACACCTCCCTCTGTTCCAGTTTCCCCCTGGTTTTTATTGTATCTTCTAAAAAAACTAAAGTTGAAATGTGTCGAGTGAGAAAAACTTGTTCCATTTTTCTGAAGAAGGAAGAGTCAGGAGACAGGCCCAGAGGGGTGAGGCTTTCTGTACCCGAGGCGTGACCACCCCACCCTCTACCCCAGGCCTTCCCCTATAGGAGCCCCTTAAGGAGTCCTTTCAGATCTAGGAAATAGAGATGGAATATGGAGGGAGAGAGGGACACACCGACCTACAGAGTGTCCCCTATCCTGAACAAGGTCTGCCCCTCACCCAGAGGGCCCTAGTGGACCCCAGTGGGCGTAACCTAATTCTTGGTGTTTCTCTGCCAAGGAAGAATTCATCCATATATTCACCCACTAATTTAACAAAACTTTGGACTCTTTGTAGGCAAAACATCCTAATTGGGCATGGGTTACATGTAAGAAATTAATGTTATAAAGCAAGTTATAATTTACAAAGTGTCTTAGTAAAAATAAAGGCTAACATTTATTGGAAGATTCTGTCATTGCTGGCTCTATGCTGGTTCATTAACCTATCACCTACTTAGTGTTAGCAACAGCCCTATAAAAAGGGCAGAATGGCAACCTCTACTTCATAGATAGAGAAACCAAGATTGAGAAGGACATTTGAAAGGAGTTTGGTTGTTATGAGAGTCAAGCCAAGGGCCTTGGGTTCTCCAAGTAAGTGCCCTACCCTAGAGCTAAATCCCTGGCCTAGAATTCAGCATTTTCTTTTTACAAAGTGGTAGTACAGGCCTTTAATCCCAGCACTCTGGAGGTGAATTCCAGGATAGCCAAGAGTACATAGTGAGAACCCATCCCAAAACAAAACAAAACAAAATGAAGAGTTGGTGAGCAGATTTGACCAAAAACTAGAAGCTCCTATCAGGTATGTAACCCAAAACTGGAGGGGTCCTGACTAAGCCTCCTGGGAAGACCTATCATTTCCTCCTTCCCCCACTGCCAGGCTGCCAGACTTAGGTGGGTTTCAACTTCCTAACTGCAGAATCTATGAAGAGCTTCTTGTCCTTGGAGACCACCCAGTCAATTGTGGGGTTGGTGGAGGAGCCCTGGAGTCTGGTCTCAGTTTGCTCTCCCTGTTGTACTCCTAGCTACATACACCTCCCCCATCCCATCCCACCCTCCACCACCACCCAGGCTCTGTGGAAGGAAGAGCAAGTGCATTGCCTTCTGACCTTTAGGCTCCTGGCCTCCTAAGCTCCCAGGACGGCTTCATACCCCCTTTCTTAGTTTGCAACATGAGATCCATGTCTTAGCAGCCCAAAGTCCCCTTGAGGAAGCTAATCTGGGGTGAGACCAGAGGTCACCCCTCTGGATTAAGGCCTTGGAGGGGTGTCCTCTCTCTTTGCTCTGTGCCATTCATTGTGTGCCAGAAGTGGAGATAAAGTTGGGTGTGCACATGTAGACCAAGGGACAGGAAATTTGGGTCTGAAAGCGGAGCCTGCTTGAATCTAGAGTGGCAAGGATAGGTTGTCTCTTTGAAGATGGGTGTTTCCATTCTCTGTACCACAGAGTGAGGAACAGGGGTGGGTATGTGAGTCTAAAGCTCCCACCTTCAACCTGTACTATTAACATCTGTATCCGGCATGATCAGAGGGTTGAGAGGGGGACTGGAAAGTAAAATGAAGCATCCATTTCCTATCTCCCTTAGCAAGACACCTGCGTGGCTCACCTCACCTCTCCTGGGATGGCTGCGGCCAGCCTACATTTGTTTTTGTTTTGTTTTGTTTTCTGCAGGGAGAGAATGTTTGGGTCCCATCTACTAACTCTAGGCTGTCCCCAACCAGCCATATCCTCCCGACGACTAACCAAATCAGAAAGAAGGCCAAGAGAAAGCCACTACCTGGCAAGGATTAGGGATAGTAAGGACAAGAAGAGGAGGAAGAGGAAGGTTTGCAGGTTAGGATCCAGATCTGTGCCCACTCTAACCCCAGATGGGACACATAGCTCATCTCCAAGTTCCTCCCCACCCCACCCCAACATTTATACGCCCTTGACACAGAAGGAAACATCTCCTATGTGATGACTCCACAGATAGACACACATGTCCCCACAGACACACACGCCCATGCAGAGACACAGACACCCAGGCAGGCAAATCTTTTCCTTTCTCTGTCTTTCCCTTGGTTTGAATTTCGTTCAGCCACATATGTTGTGTGTGCATGAGGGTGGGTGGGGGAGGGGCAGACAGGGATGAGGAATGGCATGATGCCAGCATCTACCTATGGGGCTTGGGTCAGGGATGCCCCCCACACCCACCCTGGAAGGAGGCCTCAGCTGTCCCTTTGTGGTGAAGGGGACCCTCTCTCGGGGAGTGGGAGCATTGAGGTCCCTTCACCATACCCCAGGGTCTGATTCTGACCCCCCTTAGGGACCAGGACACAGGGAAATGGACAGATCAAGACCCTGGAGAGAGTCTAGAATTGGCCACCACCACAGACCTCCAATTCCCAGACTTGCCACCCCATTGTTCCCATATGGGGGGCTCTATAGCTAAGGGGGGCAAGTCCTCCCACCTCCCTCTCAATTCCTGCTTCCCCTGCGTTGGGCGGGAGGGGAGGGCGGCAGAGATATTTATTTATTTCCTTTATTTATTTATTTATTTTTTTTTTTTTGGAGTAGAGAGTGACAGATGGCGGCGGGTCCCGGGGGAGCCGGCTCTCCCCCAATGCAGACGCATGCCAATCACCGTCTCTCATGTGATAGCTGCTGCCCGTGACGTGCCAAGCCCATATGGCCTGGCATAGAGGCTGGTACCCCGCCTGGTAGAGATGCCACACTCGCTCCGCGGCTCGCATGGCGCTCTGAAGACGCAGGCGCCCGCCGCCTTGAGGAACCGCTGCCCCCGCTCCCTGAAGATGGGGGAACAATGAAATAAGCGAGAAGATTCCTCTTCTCCCCCCCTCTCTCTCTTGCCCCCTCCCCCCTCCCCTCCCCTCTCCCCTTGACTCCTCTCTGAGGTAAGTTGTCCGAGAGGGAGCTAGATCTGACCTGCCGATTGGGAGGGGGGCGCTGCTTCGGACATGAAAGTCCCCCAGATCCCCTATTCTTGGGACTCTACCCCCTCACTGGGTGGACATGGGGGCGCCCCGGGTTCTCTCTCCCATTGGGGCCGCAGCTCAAGGGGCTGCGGAGGGAGACCTTATGCTTAGGATGGGCTGGGGGGTGCAGGGTCATGAGGCACGCGAAGGGGTTAAGATGGGGGCCCCCCATGACTGTCCCGAAGGAACCTGCGACCTTTCCTCGCCACAAAAAGAAAAAAAGAAAAGAAAAAGATAAGCAAACAAACAAATTTGGATTTTCCCCCATGGATCCCAAAATACAACGAGATCTGAAGAGACGTGTGGGAGGGAGGCAGTTTGAAAGGGGGAAGGGGGTCCCTGACCGCAGGGAAGACGGACTGGGTTCGCTACTGGGTCTCCTCCGCACGCCGGGCTTCTTCACTCCTCGCCACCCCGAGCCGGCTCCCGGAGACCCGGACGCAGTGGCAAGAGCAGACCGTGCTCCCGGCGTCTGGAATTGGGGCTGCGGGGGTGGGGGCCGGGCCGGGGGCGGCGCGCGGCCAACTTGCAAATTGGATTAGGGAGCGTGGGGGTGAGAGGCACCGGAGGGCAGGGGGAGCCAGGCCGAGGGGCCCGGGCCGTGGAGCCAAGGAACCGGGCAGCTGTCCCCACGGTGGCCGCCCAGCTTCTGTCCATCACCCGGAGAGAGCCTGCTTTCGGGCGAGAGCACCGCCTCCCCGGGCAGAGGAACCTGTTCCCTTACCACCCTCCCGGCCCAGGCTCTTTGGGATCCAGACACCGGCCCGAAGCGGCCTCCTCCTCGGCCAGGGGCGGGTGGGGCGGCAGCCTGGGCCTCCGAACCCCGCTGGCTGCCGGGCAGGGTTGGGCCGGCTCTGGGCGGGGCAGCAGGACGCGGTGGGCATCGGGGCCCCTTGAGCTGGAGCGCGCACCGAGAGTCCGGGGTGGAGGCGGGTTGGGGGACCATAGTGACCCCGGCGCGCCCCTCACTCTGTGCTGTCTGTCTCCCCGCCCCCGGGGCGCCCTCAGGCACCATGCTGACCCGCCTGTTCAGCGAGCCCGGCCTTCTCTCGGACGTGCCCAAGTTCGCCAGCTGGGGCGACGGCGACGACGACGAGCCTAGAAGCGACAAGGGCGACGCGCCACCGCAGCCTCCTCCTGCTCCCGGGTCGGGGGCTCCAGGACCCGCTCGGGCCGCCAAGCCAGTTTCCCTTCGTGGAGAAGAGGTTCCCGAAGCCGCGTTGGCCGAAGTCAAGGAGGAAGGCGAGCTGGGTGTCGAGGAGGAGGAGGAAGAGGAGGAGGAGGAAGGGTTAGACGAGGCGGAAGGCGAGAGGCCCAAGAAGCGCGGGCCGAAGAAACGCAAGATGACCAAGGCGCGTCTGGAGCGCTCCAAGCTGCGGAGACAGAAGGCCAACGCGCGGGAGCGCAACCGCATGCACGACCTGAACGCCGCACTGGACAACCTGCGCAAGGTGGTACCCTGCTACTCCAAGACGCAGAAGCTGTCCAAGATTGAGACTCTGCGCCTGGCCAAGAACTACATCTGGGCTCTCTCGGAGATCTTGCGCTCGGGAAAGCGGCCGGATCTAGTGTCCTACGTGCAGACTCTGTGCAAGGGGCTGTCGCAACCCACTACAAATCTGGTGGCTGGCTGCCTGCAGCTCAACTCTCGTAACTTCCTCACAGAGCAGGGCGCGGACGGGGCTGGCCGCTTTCACGGCTCTGGCGGCCCGTTCGCCATGCACCCGTACCCGTACCCGTGCTCCCGCCTGGCGGGCGCACAGTGCCAGGCGGCGGGCGGCCTGGGCGGAGGCGCGGCGCATGCCCTGCGGACCCACGGCTACTGCGCCGCCTATGAGACGCTGTACGCGGCGGCGGGTGGCGGCGGCGCCAGCCCGGACTACAACAGCTCCGAGTACGAGGGTCCGCTCAGCCCCCCACTCTGTCTCAACGGCAACTTCTCACTCAAGCAGGACTCGTCTCCCGACCACGAGAAGAGCTACCACTACTCTATGCACTACTCGGCGCTGCCCGGCTCACGGCCCGCGGGCCACGGGTTGGTCTTTGGCTCGTCGGCGGTGCGCGGGGGCGTCCACTCCGAGAATCTCTTGTCTTATGATATGCACCTTCACCACGACCGGGGTCCCATGTACGAGGAGCTCAACGCATTTTTCCATAACTGAGACCTCGCGCCGACCCCTTTCTTTTTCTTTGCCTTTGCCCGGGCCCTCTAGCCCCAGCCCCGCGAGCTCTGGGGCTCCCACCGACTCCAGCGCCAGGCGCGCGGGGGCGTGGGCCGCCGGTTCTACGGCTCTCTAGGGCTGGTCTCCTACCTGTGGGTGGCCCGTCCCAGGGGCCTCGCTTCTCCCTGGGGACTCGCCTTCTCTCTCCCAACGGGCTTCCTCCTCCCTGCTCGCGTGGAGTGCATCTCTGGGGACCTCCCTCCAGGCCTTCCCTAGAGACTCCTTTCGCATTCCTAAACTTGGGTTTTCTCTCCCCACCTCCCAGTAGGCCAGAAGGCTTTGGTAAGGGGCAGCTGAGTTTCCGGATAGTGTCTCCGTTTATGATTACTTTAAAAACAGACACCGAGCTGCCCAGGCCGAAAGGAGTTGGTATCTCTTCCTTCTCGAAGAGAGCAAAAGCCAGGGCGCCCAAACGCCTTCACCCCAGCCCGAATCTCCGCATTTTTTTAATTTTTATTTTGGTGGGAGGGGATGTGGATTGAGAGGAAAGAGAGAGGACAAGCCAATTTGTAACTAGAATCATGTTTCCTTTTCCCTTTCTAAAAAAACAAACATACAAAAGAAAAAAAAAAAAGCTAAGAGGCGACAGAGGCCGAACTCAGAGTCCGGATCGGAGAGAAAACGCAGTAAGAACTTTTAGAAGCAATAAAAGGCAAAATATAATAATAATAATAATAATAATAAATACTACCAATAATAATTTTTAAAAAGACACAAATATCTATGCAAGAAGGTTCTGACTGAGCCTAGCAGCCCGGCCCGGGATGCCCCTCCGGTCCGCTGGTTGCCCCGCCCAAGCGCGGATCTGTGCACTTTGGAGAAGTGGGGGCCCGCGCCGCCCCTCCCCCCTAGGTTCTTACAATCAATGACTCGGAGATTTGGAACCCCGTTGCCACTGCCCTCCCCCCCCCATCCCGTTGTGCGTCATACTGTTTTCTAAAAACGTGTTCCCAAATTTGTATGGAATGGCAAACTGTTGGGGGGTCGGTTTGGGGAGGGAGGTTTTGCATGAGACACACACACACACACACACACACACACACACGCACGCACACCACATCGCACGCACACGTAGGCCCGATGCGGGCGTCCGGGGACTGAGGGAGGCGAGTCTACTGGCTCCTCCTCTCTGCAGGCACTCCCTCCCTCTTGGGGTGAAGTGGAGGAGCCCAGACCTGGAGATAGCCCTAACCCTGCCCGGACTGTGCCTCGCTGGGCGCTGAACTCCTGGTGACTTCTGGTGGTTGGAGAGGTTTTTTTTGTTTTGTTTTGTTTTTGTTTTTGTTGTTGTTTTGGGGGGATTTTTTGTTGTTGTTGTTGTTGCTTTTGTTTTGTGTTTTGGTTCTAGGCTCCTTCTGACTTCTGTCATCCAGTGAGCTAGGAGAACTGAGGGCCCTTCTGGAGATTGCCGCAAAAAAGGCAACAGGTGAACCTCTCTGCTCCAGAGGCAGGGAATCAGGCACCCAAACACTCGATGCAAAAAACGCAAACCCACAGGCGACACACCCCCACACACGCAATTTTACCTTACTCTTGTAGCGAAGATGAAACTCCCGTCGGACACCCGAAGTGCATTGCGTGTTTCTGTTGAGTTTAATGACGATTAATAAATATTTATGTAAATGAGATGCAAAGCAGACCCGGTTTCTCACTGTGGCCTCCTTTTATGAGTGGGGACAAGTATGTATCTGGGACTGGGATGATGGAGGCTATGTAAAATGACGGTACAGAGGTCTGAGAGAACGGGCTGAGGACATTCCTGGGTGGGGTTTCCAAACTGAAAGACCTTCACACACACCCAGTGGGCTCTTAAACAGTCACACTTACTGCCCCTCCTGGGCTCCACTCGGATTTACACTGGCATCCAGCACAAAGCACCCCTGTGATCTACTTACATTCATTCAGCTCTCAAACACGCTCAAGGATCTTCTTTGAAAACAAAACATCTTTTCATCAATGAAAAATTATCAAAGTGTGACCATCTCATCATTTTACAACCCTCAGCTTCCTGTAACAATAATAACAACAACAACAATAAAAAAACCAAACCCCAAAAAAAAAACCAAGTGAATGCAAAAAAAAATTTTTTGAGGCAGACATGGATATTCCCGAATTAAAAAAAATAAGATCATGAGGGTAAAATATTAATGGACTGATCTCCTTTCTACCTTCAATTTGTGTTTCAGTGGACTCAAAGGAATGGACTCTTCTGGTGTCAATCAGGGATATTGATATTTCAGGAGTATGGATAAATCTATGAGGTGGCTGAATCTGGAGAAGGATCCTAGTTAAGAACAAAGCCTAACCATGAGTAAAAGGTGACAGCACCAATTGACACCTGAACAGCCTCCTTCCCTGATTCAGGAGGAGAAAGGGGGCTCAATGGAAAGCACACATAACTCTTTGATCCAGACCTCACTCCCTCACCCCCTAGTCTAACCTCTAGAGGTAGGGACAGACTTTCCGAAAAAAGATGCCTCCTCCCTTTGAAATATTTGAAAGGGAGTCTGGATCCTAAAAACTCGAATCCGAGGAGACTTGGGAATTTCTTAAAGAAAGTGCCCTTGGTGCTCCCTCTCCCCCTTCAAAACACCATCACTCGTTTTAGGATCGAAGTGAAGTTGAATGTATTGTTCAGGGTTAAGGTCAGACACGCTAAGGGCTCCGAAATGTGCAGGGAAGAGAGAAGAGGAAGTCTAAATGTCATCTGTGCTCATCCACGCCACTAAATGCCCACACTTAATCTTTAGCCTTCTGAGTAAAAACAATGCGCTCCCTCCACCCCTGCCTCTTCGCAGGCCTAGGGACAAGCTGGGAGCTGTCCACTCCACAGTGCTGATCGGTATCTACCATTTTCCTTTCTTGCTCCGGAAAGAGGCCAGCGCCTGGGACTACAGAGCAGAGCCTATCGGAATTCTCTTGCAGGGAGACTTCCTGGGAGACTTTTATTGTTAATTCTTTAAAAACGTTCACAATGTTCTCTGGATTTCTCTCAGGACCACATCTCTAAAGTGACAGTGAGCCCTTTGTCACTGGGATTCTTCCCTGTGGGTGGCTAATGAGATCAAACAGACCTCTGAATCACTTGTATTCTTTAGAGAAAGATTTTGGTCCGTCTTCTGTACCCTCCACTTTGGTGGGGAGTGGGGAGCTTGCAGGATGCACATTCTGACCCTAACCTGAAAGAGCTGGCCTGGCAGGGCATTTGGAAGAAAAAATGGCTTCATCCCAGGATTTGATCCTTATCTTGCCCTGGAAACAAGGTTAATTGGGCTTCTCTCCCACTCAGCTGGTTTCCCAGAACTTGCTCTGAACTCCAAACTGGGCAGGATCCAGGTGGCTTGGGGCCGGATGTAAAGGACCCCTCCACGTGGCTCCCCTGGCGAGATCACTGACTCATCTACATAGCTCTTCCAGCTACCCACACTGTTTCATTCTATTCTGAAGCCAGACTCCAACCTCATTTGAAAGATGATGATGACTCTGGGGTCATTGCATCTATGGGTCAGACTATGTGGAGATGCAAGAACCCTTTTGGGGGCAGGGACACACTGGAGCCCCTGCTTGTAGAGCAGCCAACTCCAATTCCTGACTTTCCCCATGCTCCCTGCACTCTGGCTGACTCTAGCCTCCCACTACCATCCTCCACCCCAACGCAACACTTAACTGCCCTGGTGAGATGGCAAGATGAGCAGGAGAAGAAGATGTGCATGGACACTCGGCCCCAGACGCCCCCTCACAGATCTCTTTCTCTCGCTTGGCTTGCCTGCACACATCCAGAGAAGCTCCATGAACAGAAGGAAGGGGGAGGTGAAAGGGCGCTGGCGTGGCTTGGGGCAGGGAGATGGGCAGGAGCAGAAAGTATAGCGAGATATCTTTTCTTTCCCTAGCTAAGCAGCAGGCTCTCCAATCATTCCACACCCTGCTCAAAACAACTCCTGGGCTGCCCAACCGATGGGTGTAGCCAGGTTCAATCTGGAGACTGTTTTTCTCCTTGATTTTTTCAGCCCCGTCCCATGCCCAGCATTTGAAAATGGCAGAGAAACAGAGGTACCCATTTGCTGATCTGGTAGTGATGGGAAAGGGATATGCTGCTGTTTCTCCCCTCCCCACCTGGACCTTGAGTCACTGTGCACCAGTGACATTCCAGCTCGGATTTTATTACCTAGGGCAAGGACAGGATGAACTGAGGGAGGCAGGAGAGCTGAGTCCTCTGTGGATCAGGCACTGGGAAGTGCCACACTCTACACACTCCACAAGGGTGTGCCAGCTTGTTTCCCTCCGTAAGCCTACAGCCACCAGATGCAGGGTCTGAGACTTCATTCTCTTTCTCCCATCCTTGACTTCCTCCTCTTCCAGGAACCTTTAACAGGGAGCCACATGCTCCTGGGAGTTTCCATGGATCTCTGGGCACTGCAGGACTAAGTGCACAGCTTCATTTTCCAGGTAGAAGGGGTGAAAGACAGCATTAGCCACTCCTGGCCAGCCTCAGTCTTGACCTCCACACCAAGCCCCTACCATATGACAACAGAGGGCTGGAAAAACCCAGGGCTCCATTCTGACCTGTGTGAAAGGTTCAAAGGGAAAGGCTTCTTGCTTACAGGGGGTGAGTGGAGCCTGCACTGCCAGGACAGGCTCCCAGACCGCTCCAAGATGCTCACTGTTTTTATTTTGTTTTCTCTTGAGATTGGGTAACCAGGTATTGGCCACTGGCTTAGTGTGAAGGTGACACCTGGGCTCTGAGAAACCTAGAAACCCTGCCCTAGCCCCCTGGTTCTTCATCTTGATTCTATCTATCTGTCTGTCTGTCTATCTATCTATCTATCTATCTATCTATCTATCTATCTGCACCTGAGCCATCAAAAATTCTCCACAAAGCTTCCCTAGGTGAGCAGCCTTAGGTGGGGGAGCTACTGCCTCGGGCAGACTGTCTTGCTGTTGAAACTTAACCTAAAACACTGGGTTCAGAGAAGGCCAGGACTGGGTAGGGCTCACCTGGGGGATGGCACTGAATACTTGCAGGGAGATGTCAGGGTTGTTCTTTTCCTGGCCCCACAATAATGAAAGGGGAAGCTAGGTGGCACTGGAGGAAGGGGACCAGCCTATGCTTTTAAGTACCAGCCATGCCAAGGGAGATGGGACACACCCATCTTCCAGCTGTGCCCTCGGGAATGTCTCTGGCGCTGCCAGTTCCGCTCGCTCCAGCATAGGAACCCAGCCTCTCCCGCAAACTAGGGATGCACAGTTGA